ATAGCACTGCCAAGCACAGTGAGGCATCAGTTTAGTGTGGCTGGAAGAAATACACCTGGTGTTTCTTCCCTCACTGGTGTGTGCCTAGCATGGAGCTTTGCATCAAGTACCCATGTGTCTGGATGGATGGATGGATGGATGGATGGATGGATGGATGGGTGGATGGGTAGATGATGCATGGATGGGTAGATGGATAGATAGGTGTATGGATGGATAGATGGGTGGGTGGATGGATGGAAGGAAGGAAGAAGGAAAGAATGGATGAACACATCAATGGCTACAAGGTACTGAACGCTACTAATTTTATTTTGTAACATAGACCCTCAAATCCTCTCCTTTTGCCAAACACTTGAAACCTGGAGAAATACATCCTCTTCCCTGAAAAATAACATGAACATTGTGTTCATATAGAGAAAAACTGGAAAGGAATGTGGGAAGCACATTTCATCACTGTTTCTTGCATTCCTACCAAGTGCCATGCCCTAAGCAAGGTGCCAGAGCAGGGTGGCAGCAAGAGGCTCTGTGTGTCATGGTGAGAGTTGCACCCATTGTCTTTAAATCAGAACTTCCCCTCCCCTTAACGCTTTCTGACCTCCGGGTCTTGCTTACGAGGAACCGGCACAGTGAGATCATGAGACCAAAGAAGCCGCGGTGGATGGATGCTTTCGAAAAAGACCAGGAACTGCAGGATTCAGGCTCCACTATGGGGAAAGCTTCCTTGCTGCCATGCACCGACCCACCCAGAGAGGCCACCACGCACCCTGGTTCTAAGTGGGAGAGAAGGACACACATAAGCTCCAGAGAGCGAGCGGCGCCGTATTTCACGTGTTCCTTGAAGAATGTGCAGAAGATGTGCATCAGGTCTAAGAAAAGTTCTCGGAAGCAACACTGTGCCACAAATTGGTTTGCAGTCCACCTGCCGTGTGGATGTTTTGCCATGTGGGACAGTGGGAACCCCATGGGCTTTCCTTGTTCATGGACTCATAGGGATGACGGTTCCATTCAAAATCGCACGAGTTACTTCTCCTGGGGAATGCTTGGAGCCAGAGCAAGGTCAGGTGCCAATTCTGTCCACTCATTAGCTGTGTGGCCATGGAAACTTACTCCTCCGTAAACTTCAGTGTCTTCTTTACCAGACAGACAAAGGAAAACGACCTCTGTTTTGAGGCAGTCATGTGAGATACAGTCGGCACCCTAGTAAATGCTTACCAAATCTTTGCTGCTAATATAAATAATATTTCCTTGAATTCTGTAGGTACATCTACTAGAACGCTGCTGTTTAAACCCTTAAAACTCCTGAAAGCTCCTGAGGAAAAAATGTTTGCCCATCAGAGCTTGCCAAATGCTTTTCAAATGCATTAGCTTAATTAATTGATCAGGCGTGGCTCTGTGTCTGGGAACTAGGTGTTTGTCGAGTGGCCTGCCCTTATCTCTGGGAAGAGGGATCGTGGTGTTGAAGCTAGACCATGTCAGCAAAGCTCCAGGAATTCAATGCTTCCCCAAAGCTTGAAACAAGCAGTGAGCCAGAACTTTCTTGCAACAGGTGAATTGCTTTTCCAGACTGGGTAAGCCAGAAATGCTTCCCTGCCCCTCCCTTCCAATTGTCTCCACCTTGATGTCGACACTCAGCAGAATTCTGGAACGTGTCATTATTATACGGACATCAGTGGGAGCTTAGCGGGCCCCAGCTCATCAACATGAATTCCCAGAAGGAACCGTGTACCCAAGTAAGCCCCAAACTACAGCTTTGAACGGTGGTGTTTCCAGCCTAGGAGATCATGTAAATGTTAGAGAATTATGTCTTCTTCATTAGACCGTGAACAACGTGGGGTCAGGAGAGTTACATGTCTTCAAATGGCCTGCAGTTCCTGTCACAGGATAAGAAACCAACACCTCCTTGCTGGCTAACTAAAGGTGTAAGTAAAGGAATGAAGAATTTTAACAAAGGAATTTTTTAAAAAGCCTCTTGTCTTTTAAAAATTAAGGACATTGAGGAGAGTGAACTCACAAATAATGCATGTAGGCAAATCCACAGCATTTGAACCATCGCGATTCATTAATGAACTGTTGTCAACACCAAAGGAAGAAATCCAGGTACCAGAACCAAGGCTCCACACCTTTCAACACTGCCGTCAATGACTGGGTAGGAAAGTGGGAAGTTAGAGAGTTCAAGGCTCCCACAGAGGCCCCAGACCATGGCTGGAAAGGACTCCAGCCCAGGCCATGTTGTTGTACAGGTCAGGGCTCCAGGGGCGAGAGAAGGTTCTTAGAGCTCGAAGAAGGAGAAGACCACGGAGAGAAGACAGAGCCACCATGGCGAACTGAGGATTGCAAGCTAGGAGACAGTAGAGTAACAGCTCAGGATTTTGAGTCTGTTATTTCCAGCCTAGATCCCTCTCCATAGGCATCTGTAACTGGCTGTTCAGTGTAACAGAATAAGAACAGCCTTAGATTTTTTTTTTTTAACCTCACTCACATCTTGCCTCCGGAAGCTGACTGAGGCCATGCCCCACTACAGCGAGGAAGTCCATTTTTAAAAAGGCATGGGATCCAGGAAACCAGGGATAAAAAAAGCCAAGTAAAGGAAAAGCCATTTCCAGGAAACCCAGAAACAAGGTTAGAAAACAAATCACTTATCAAGCTCAGAAAACAAATCACTTATCTAGAATGATCTAGAAAGAAAATGTCGTCAACATACACATGAAATGTCTCAGCTGGAGAAGCCTCGTCTTGAAGAAGATTTCTGTTTTATGGGATTCTGTCTATTAAAACTAGATACATAGAACTAGAGAATGTTGATTTAATCCCGTGCTGTAATTTCTGGAAAGATCGAGGGAGAGCCATTAAACATGCGTGTAGGTCTGGGCATGTGTCTCAAAGAGCTGACTCCTCATCTTCTGAAGCAGAAAGCCAGTATCTAGCACAAAAAAGTCAAGAAATGGCAGAATAAGGTTATGAGGTTATGATTTTAAAAAACAGAGTAGGGGCACCTGGGTGGCCCAGTCAGTTGAGCATCCGACTTCTGCTCAGGTCATGATCTCACAGTTTGTGAGCTCGAGCCCCGTGTCAGACTCTGTGCTGATGGTGTGGAGCCTGCTTGGGATTCTCTCTCTCTCTCTCTCTCTCTCTCTCTCTCTCTCTCTCTCTCTCTCCCCCTCCCTCACTCGTGCTCTGTCTCTCTCTCACTCTCTCAAAAATAAATAAAAAACATTTTTAAAAATTAAAAGAAAAAATAAAAACACAGTAAATGTCAAAAGAAAGAAGAGTTTGAAGGAGTTCTGCTGGGCTGGGGTCAATGGACCAGGGGAAGCTGGTTAGACTCTGAGCTTCGTGGCATGACCCGATTTTTCCTCGTCTCCATGTTCTACAGAAAATACATTAGAGAATTATAAAGGTACAGGAGGTGGTTATGGTATATTTTAGTAGAAGGGTGGATAATCTCTGACTTTTAAAAGAAAAAGTGAAGACCAGAAAAATGTCTGCTAACTGTTGGTAGTTTATCTGAGTGTTTAATGAAGTGATTTTTTTTCCCCTTCCTTTGCTTATGTAATTTTTAACTATAAATTTACTTTGCGAGGGGCGCCTGGGTGGCTCAGTCGATTGGGCATCCGACTCTTCATTTTGGCTCAGGTCATGATCTCACGGTTCGTGGGTTCAAGCCCCGCGTCTGACTCTGTGCTGACAGCGTGGAGCCTGCTTGGGATTCTCTCTCCCTCTCTGCCCCTCCCCTGCTCTCACTCTCTCTTTCTCAAAATAAATAACAACTTAAAAACTTTAAAAAATAAAAAAATCTTACGTTGCGATACATTGCATATTACTGAGAACAATTTGAAAGGAGACTTTTTATACACACACGTGCCCACACCCACACACCCAGGAAACACCAGTCCCGACCCAGAATAGGAATGAATTTCCCTCCGTGGTCATGAGTTCTGGAACACGCACTGGGGACCTGGGTTCATACGCCAGGAAGCACCAAGCATAGAGCAGGTACCACAGTGGGGTGGGGTTGGTAGGCAGCCCTCCCAGGGCGAGCCCTTGAACCCTCGGGACCCTTTGGAAGCAGCTCGGCAGAAGCCCCCTACAGGCGGGGACAGGTAGAGACGGGGTCGTCCGTTTGCATACACTCCACACTTGCACACGCAGGGTTGTCTCAACCAATTTTCACTGCTGAGAATGAACGCACAAAAACTCCGTAATGACGAAGAGAGCAGATTCCGTAGTCTTTTCCAAACAAAGAAATGCAGTCAGCGGACAAGGTCTCACACACTAGAAGAGCGTCCCTTCAACCATCAGACCCGCCCGGGACTGACAGCCTCCCCGAGCTGTGAATTTGGCGATGTTAGAAGTGTTTGGTGGGATCCGGGTTTCTGCGCTGCACGGACGGGAGCTGGATGTCCCATAGGCTGGCGCCAGGAGCTGCACACTGACAAACTTCATTGTCACTGCTGGTCCAGGGGTGGCCAGTCCGTGGACGGTTACTAGTCCTGGCGGGTCGGGAACATGCAGGGGCAGCAGAGCAGGTGGAAGTCAGGGCAGAGGGAGCCCTGAGCCGTCCCCTTCTGCTCTCCCCCTGCAAGGGCACAAGTCAGGGTGGCCCCGGTAAAGTTTCCAGAAGGAATAGTTCTCTTTTGCATTTAATTAAGGGCTGAGGGTTCCCCTTTCTCATATTTATGCTGAGGGGGGGTTCCCAAGTCCCCTGACTGGCCTGAAATCCCTCGGTAACATGGGGCAGAGCCCCAGCTCCCCATGCTTCGGGGGGCAGGGCGGGTCTTGGGGATGTCTGAGCATCCTTGGGCCACCTGAGGACCACGCCTGGGCAGCATGGCGAACCCCCACACCGGGGCATCCGCCACCTGCCCAGGGGCCCCAGGAAGGAGTCTGGCAATCTGCCAACCCTCCTTCAAGCCCCGCGTCACACGGGCCAGCTTCTCCAAGTGGGGTGCACAGGGGGCAGAAATGCCCTGACGCTCACCGTTGCCTTCCTTTGGGCTTCCCAGGTATCTCTGGGGTCACAGATTGACTTGGAGAAGAAGAAGAGGCGGGCGCCCGCGCCCCCTCCGCCGCAGCCCCCGCCGCCAAGCCCCCTGGTGCCCCCTCGCACTCAGGACCAGGAGGAGAACAGGAAGAGCGCCACGGGTGAGTGTGTCCGCATGCTTCCGAGTCTTGTCTTGCGTGGAGTGTTAGCGCTGCCCTTAACCCCTGCAGTCGCCTCGCCCACGAGGGCATTAACTGGGGAAACATTTATGCTGAGGAAAGAAAGTCTGGAAATAAACACTTGTGAGTCCATCCCGAAGGCCTGTTTTCCGGGCATCGTGGAGGCAGGTGGAAGGCGGGGGGCGGAGAGGGTGGGGGATGGCTGAGGCAGCTCGGGAGAGAGCGAGCGGGGTGTGCACATGTGTGCGTGTGTGTGTGCGTGTGTGATGCGTGTCTCCCTGATGGAAGGATGTAAAGTTCTTGGGATGACGTCCGTGGAAGCTGTTTCGAAAGGCCTCTGGTCCCCAGGAGATTCGTAGATCAGTTGACAACAGTGTAGTAATTTCTTGACCACCCTGTTTGAAATTGATCTCCCCTTTTATATCTGTAGCAGAGACTATGATCCTTTTTGAGGAAAAGAGAACCCAAAGGAAACAGGATGGAACCATAATATCTGTGAGCAGAGAGACCTATTAGATCATTAAATGCCACCAACTCATGTTACAGGTGGCACAGAGAGAAGGGACCGGGGTCTCCAGCTCTATTAGCCGTGGATAGTTCATTTAATTTAAAATTTTTGTACTGTCTGTTTGTTTTTGAGAGGGAGGGAAAGACAGAGCGCGAGCAGGGAGGGGCAGAGAGAGAGGGAGACACAGAATCCGAAGCCGGCTCCAGGCTCCAAGCTGTCAGGGCTTGAACCCATGAACCTCGAGATCGTTGACCTGAGCCGAAGTCAGACGCTCAACCCACTGAGCCACCCAGGCGCCCCTGGTGAATGTAATTTTAAAACCATTCAGTGTTTGTTATTTCATTTATGGAGGAAAAGGAAGAGTAGGGGTTTCCTGAGATCATGGGAGGATCAGCTCACGACAGAGGCCATCCGACGGCCATGCCCAATGCCGTTCACTCTACTCAGCACCCTCGTGTTTTGGCCTTGACCTAATGGCTGTGGCCCCCAAAAAGAAGCCCCCCCAAGGATAAGTGCTTGCATCATCAGTGTCCCAAACTCCAATACAAGCTACTTGGCTGTTTGTAGCATTTTTTTTTCCCCCTGGTCAATACCTCTCTTCTGATATTAGCCTTTCACAGCCAGAGACGTGGTTATCCTAAGGACCAGTAACCTATATTTCACGTCCTTTTTTTCTTTTTACCAAAGGAAAATACCGTCCTATTCGCAGAGCACATGATCAGTAGCTCCTCGAAATAAATCTGGGGTGTCTCCCTCTTTTATGTCGAGACCACCATTCTCCCTCCCGAGCTCTCACCCACTCTTGCTGTAAAGGGATGACAGCTCGAATGTACAGTCCCTTGTCACAACCCTAGGAAGCGTCCACTCTAAGTGGTGGTGTGGCTGTGGTTGAGCCCTGCCAGCCTCCAGGCCAGACACCCCGTTTCAACCCAAGGGAGGGCCCCCCCAATTCGGCTTTGAAGGCCTGATGCTTGGAGGACCTGGCCCGGGTGTGGGCAGGCAGCCAGCACCCACGGGTGTCACAGGAGAGGGAGGCGGGTGTTTGCCAAATGAAAACCGTAGGGACGGTTCCCCTGCGAGGAGCATGTTACAAAGAGGAGTTATGGACGGCAGTGATGCACTACTCGTCTCTCTCTGTCTCTGTCTGTCGTTCGTGAACTTTGGTTTGTGAAGGTGGAGAAGGAAGCCAGAAGCCCCCTCCCTACTGAAAGGGACCTTGGCTGCTTTGGGAGCTCAGGAGGGTGGTAGAGGTCATGGTGGCAGTTTTCAGTGAGACTTGTGTCCCCATCAGCAATCCCCATGAACTCACAGCACGCTAGCCACCCACAGGCCGCTCTTTGAACCAAAGTCTAGGCTTTACGTTAACAGGTAAAAATCTTTAAAGTAGCCCCTGTTCAGTCACACACACACACACACACACACACACACACACACACACGAGCATCTTTCCATTCTGATATCTAGATATAAAAGGGGGAAAAAATTAGAACTTGCACTAAAATAGTATTATTTTACTGGAATTGAGTCTGACCCAAATTTCTTGGCAAACAAAAATAAGCTTTCCAGTAGAAAAGCTTTCGGCACAAAGCCTCTTCCTCCTACGTGTGTCGCCCTAGGGGGACGCCCTCTCATTTAACGTTACTTACCTGGACCAAACAGATAGCTCTCACCCAGACCAATCGTGGCTTCTTTGCACTTGGAAGGGAGAAGTGACGTCTAGCTATGGGGGCATCCATATTTTTCCACGTTGGAAGAATTGTAATCAAGAGATTGGATATATCTCTTGATGAAGAAATTATATTTCTTAATCTTTTTATTAATAATCTGATGATGGTCATGAAACACAGAATGTATTCATTACAAGATGATCCTAAACATTAAAGCTTGGGGGTGCCTGAGTGGGGTGCCTGAGTGGCTCCGTCGATTAAGCATCTGACTCTTGGTTTCGGCTCAGGTCAGGATCTCACGGTTCGTGAGTTCAAACCCCACATCAGGCTCTGCGCTGACTGTGTGAGTCAGCTTGGGATTTTCTCTCTCTCTGACTTTCTCTGCCCCTTTCTTCACTCACTCTCTCTCTCTCCCTCAAAATAAACAAACATTAAAAAAAAGATCTTCAGACATTAAAGCTTGAAGAAAACGTTTCTAAAAGAAATCCTAGGAAGCATGGCTTACGACACAAGTGATTTATATGGCTCTGTTAAGTCACTGACTTTCAAAAATCTTAGTAGCAGAAGAAAATCATTTTCCTATAAAATGGCAGGCGGATGCCCAGTGTGTCAAGAGCAGAGAGGGATGCCCTGAGGGTTCCAGGGTCAGATGGAGCACGACGCCACCCCGAACACTTTGCCCAAGTCACAACCCTCTTCATTTTTTTTAAGTTTATTTATATATTTTTTGAGAGAGAGAGAAAGCATGAGCGGGGAGGGGGGTGCCGAGAGAGAGAGAGAGAGAGAGAGAGAGAGAGAGAGAGAGAGAGAATCCCAAGCAGGCTCCACACTGTCAGAGCCCGACACGGGGCTCGAAGCCACGAACCACGAGATCATGACCGGAGTCAAAGTCGGATGCTTGACCGACTGAGCCACCCAGGTGCCCTGGGACCCTCTTCAAATAAAGTTTGAAGACTCTTACCCTAAACGATGGAAGAGATTGAGGATATAAACAGGCTTAAAGACGTGAGCTGAATTAGTGGTTCTTCGATCTGCAAGAATTAATCGATAAAAGTAACAAAAGTAAGCTAAAAGATAATTCCGCAAACCTAATACAAACAAACCTGAATAAAAGGAGTTCCTTTTAACTTAACGCAGCTGCCGAGGGGGCTTTTAAGAATAATTAATTTCAAGCCCAGCATCGGAGAGGAGTCGTGCTTGCCAGAAACACACGGCAAACAAGAAGGTATCACCAGATTGGCCCAAGGCGAGGACACCGTGTGTAAAATTCTGAAGCGTGAGTGAGATTGGATTTGATGCCTTGCGAGTTTGAATTTGGTCCCGGGCGTGGCTGGATTTTGTTGGCAGGTGCGGTTCCATTTGGTGAAGTTGACTTTCGGCACCGGGTGTAGCTGGACTTGATGACAGGTGTGGTTGGATTTGATGCTCGAGGTGAGGTTGACTTTGGTACCGAGTGTGGTTGGATCAGATGCCGGGTGTGTCTGGGTTTGGTGCTGGGTTGTGTCTGGATTGGTGCCATGAGGCTGTGTTTGGTGCCTGGGGGAATGATGCCACGTGTCCCCCGCTGGAGGGCAGAGTCTTTCGGCTTAACCTTCTGAAGTAACCCCCGTTGATTCCATGTAGGTGTTGGACGACGGCAGGTGCCACAAAAGCCTCCCAGAGGCACTGCTCGGGGGCCCCCCCAGTTAGTGCTCCCCCCACCCCCGCCCTACCCTCCTCCTGACACAGACGTGGCAGAGCCTCTCGGCTTTCCTGGGGAAAGTGCTGGTTCCGAGGCCCCCGACCCGAGACCCACACGTACGTGCCTCTTGTTTCCTTTCCCTACTCTGTGCTCTGGTCACCCGTGTCAGGGCTGTGTTTCCAGACTTTCCATTCTTGCCTCGGGGTGTCTGTGGCTTTGTTCTCTAGCTTTTCTTTCCAAATGCTCGATGTGGTGTGTCCGACGTTTCACAGTGAATGCACTCTGAACGCTATGCAGGGCCCCGCGAAGAATGGTGTAACTCATTAACCACTCACCCTGGGGTCCGACCTCTGCCAGAATTGTACCGGGTGGGGGGAGACAGTCTGCTAGGAGCCACCATTCCCCGCATGACAGCCAACCTCGCAGTGTCTGGGGAGAGCAGGAGCCCACGCAGCCCAGCTCAGCACACCTGTGATTTTGCTGTGAAGCTCCCTCCGGCCAGCCGTGAGCGCCGAGGAGAGCCACGTTCGAAACCAGGTCCTTTGAATCGTATGGTCAGTGGCCAGGCAGTGCTAGTGTGGAAAGGGAAACTGAGGCAGCAGGAGGGGAAGCAGCTTGAGCTCCGCCTAGTAATAGCCAGAATGAAGGTCTCCTTGTTTTCTACCTGGTGTCACACCCTGGCTGAGATCGGGCTTTCTTCCCTGTCGCCAGAGATTCCTTTAGGACTTCAGCAAGTACTGCGTACGGCACTCCCACCTCCAGACGCGGGAGTCCTTTTATAGATTCAACCATCTATGTTCCGATGGCGTCATCAGCCCACCAAGCCCGTGCTCGCCCCTTTCAGGATGCCCCAGCCTGGTAGCGAGACTTCGTCATAAAGGGGCGCGTTCCCTTTTCGTAATAGCCCCGTGTCACCCTGCCTTCCGCCCAGGGAGCGGCCGGTGCCCGTGGGTGGGTGCAGCCTTCCGGTTACGAAGTTCGTACTCTCCTGCCGTGGGACCCCTTGATCTTTCTCTGTCTTCTCTGGAAATGACGATTAACTCACTGCCAGCTTCTGGGTAAAGAAGAGGATGATGGCGGGATTACTTACCTACTCCTGTAGGAAAAATCATCTCGATTCACTTCCTCTTTCTTTACGAATACTGCCTTTCCATCCTTCAGACACATTTGATCCTCTTGACGTTGGACATGCTTCTGGAAGCAAGCACTTTCTTTTTTTTTTTTTTTCAACATTTATTTATTTTTGGGACAGAGAGAGACAGAGCATGAATGGGGGAGGGGCAGAGAGAGAGGGAGACACAGAATCGGAAACAGGCTCCAGGCTCTGAGCCATCAGCCCAGAGCCCGACGCGGGGCTCGAACTCACGGACCGCGAGATCGTGACCCGGCTGAAATCAGACGCTTAACCGACTGTGCCACCCAGGCGCCCCTGGAAGCAAGCACTTTCTACAGGGCATTAAAAAACAAAGGATGAGACATTCTTGGCCAGAAAGAGAACAGCTGAGGCGCAGATGACTCTGGAGCTGTGCCGTCTCTGAAGAGATCTTGAGCCCCACGTGCCAAGGCCGTGGGCTTTGGTGGTCTACACCGTGGCTGCCGTCCTCGCGCACAGATTCTCATCCGTGGGGGACCCGGTGAGGGAGGAGTAGCTGAGGAAAAATGACAAAGCCGAACACAGCCCGTGGGCAACCAGGGAGCGGTCACGAGACCAACCCGGGATGGGAGAGTCCGGCTTCCTATGCTTCCCCACGTCGGAACTGATGCTAACCAGTGGGCTCTCACTTCCTCCTGTGCTCGAAGGGCGCTCTGCTGGGGAGACCGCTGGGCAGGATCTGGGGCGGGGGCTGCTTACAAAGGCGGGCATCAGGCTTGGGGACAAAAGATTTCTCCCACTGTGGAATCCTTCCCCGCCCCTGCCCTTAGCAGACTTTCCAAAGGAGTCGGCAGGCAACAGACAGGAGATGAAGTTCACCGTCTTGCTTCATGGCTCCGTTTCCGCTGGGGTTCTGGAATATTCTCTCCATGCATTCATGTCCCCAGTCCCTGGTCATCAGAGCCTCCTTTGCCCTTCAGTCACCATTCCTAACTCCCTGCCCTTCTCTTCGCCTCCCGTGCAGCCACAGAAATGCCAGTAAAAGAGTGAGGAAGGGCAGGAGGCATGGGGGGGGGGGGGTGGTGCTATGGGGTGTTAGCGCCTGCAGGTAGCCAGGCTCCTCCTCTTCCTGTTCCCATCCTGGCTGCTCCTGCACCAGAACTTGGGGCATCCAACTCAGAGCTGTTCTTTTACCTAATTAGCAGAACTTTCTTGCCCATTTTCTATCGCAGTAAAACCTGGGATCTCCTGGGGTGCCTGGGGGGCTCAGTCGGTTAAGCGTCCGACTTCGGCTCAGGTCATGATCTCACGGTTCATGGGTTCGAGCCCCGCGTCGGGCTCTGTGCTGACAGCTCAGAGCCTGGAGCCTGCTTCGGATTCTGGGTCTCCCTCTCTCTCTCTGCCCCCCCCCCTTGTACACACACGTGTGAGCACACGCTCTCTCTCTCTTTCTCTCAAAAATAAATAAACATTAAAGCAGTCGTAGAAAGTACTGTACTAAGAAGAAAACAAAACAAAACAAAACTGAGATCTCCTGCCCAAGCAGGCAGAACGCAACCTGGCCTTCTTTGGTTCAGGAGTTCAGAGCAGTTAAGGAAAACAAATCGTTGGTTGTCTTCGGTCTTATTTTTTCACAAGATGTTGAAATTGGGGCACTATCTTGTCTCAAGGGAGCTACGGCTGCTAGCACGTGAATACTGGGTGCGCGTTTGCACCCTTTGCAGGCATCTACATGCTACCTACTCTTCCAGTTAGATTTCAGGCTATTCGTGTGTGTGTGTGTGTGTGTGTGTGTGTGTGTGTAAGTTTATTTATTTATTTTGAGAGAGGGACAGAGCGCACAGGGGAGGGGCAGAGAAAGAGAGAGAATCCTAAGCAGGCTGTGTGCCGTCAGCACAGACCCTGACGCTGGGGCTCGAACTCACAAACTGAGATCATGCCCTGAGCTGAGATCAAGAGTCAGTTGCTTAACCAACTGAGCTGCCCAGATTTCTGACTCTCCGTAGCTGTGGAGGGAAGCTCCGTATAGACCCTTTCACACTGGCCACAAGCTCTTGTCCACTTCCTCCTGCATTCGGCGTCAGATGCACGTTCCTTGTGAAAGAAACGATACGCTTCTGGTGGAGACGGACCCTGACTACCGACGACGGCTGGGCGGTCCACGAGGCATCTCACGTGACACCTCACTCAGACCCCACCGCAGCACGGGGGGTAGGTTCTGTCCCTGGGAGAAACTGAGTCAGAAGGACTTCCATCCCTGGCCCGGGGTCTTACCGCAATATGGGTACAGCAGGAATCCTCATTAGAGTATGTTTGACCCTCAGTCTTGGTTCCGTCCACCCCCATGCTGTTTTCGCCACCAGACCAAGAACCCCCCACGGGGGCATCCTTTGGCTTTGCATGATGATTGTTGTTTCTGCAACACAGAGTATAGTCCACTCGGGTTGTTAGAAAGACGAAAAATGCATTTTGTTGAAAACCACGAGCTCGTCCAGCCTTCATGGATAAAAAGAAAGAGCCGGTAGATGATGGTCTGTACACGGGAAAAGCGCAAGAAGATGTGAAATGGGTCTTCCAGGGCACTGCCCTTCATTCTGATGTCTCCAGAACCTTCTGTTCTGGCCGTTCCCTAGCCCCGACCCTGACCTCTGTAGGGTCTTGGCATGATCTCCGTCCTCATGCTTGGATGGCACCACAGTCCCGTCCACCGCCAGCCTCCCCAGCCGACCTGACAACGAGCTGGATGCCTCGTTTCCCATCTTCGTGCTTAAGTGCCACCAGCACGTGACACAGGGCCACGAAAACCGCATTCGCCTGCAGCCACGCCACCGGGAGAAGACCTTGTGGTCTGGGTCGATGCCGCTTTTGACTGTGACCCCTGCACTCTTTTGGAGCCAATGTATGGTTTGTGGGCAGAAGAGCGGTGAACATCCGTTCACGTGTGTTTCTGGCTCCCAGAGGCCACCTGTGTCCAGCCCGCTCCCCGGCTCCCCCTGGGTACCCCCCGCGTGGGGATCAGGTTGATGTGAACTTGACGTGCTCAACACACTCCACCACCGCCTCAGGAAGCCACCCCTCCAGTCCAGATTTCTCCCCCATCTGGGTGTTTCCTCCCCACGTTGTATTACACGCACTTGAATGTGCTGCTCTGCTAACCACTTGGAGGCTGCACCGGTCTTATTTCCTATTGTATCCACTCTTCAACATGATGCCCGACACACAGCATAGATTCAGTCGCAGAACATACCAGAATAAGTCTCGCTGTCGATCCTAAGTATCACACTACGATGACACTCAATGTTCGATTAGCTTTATCGAACTAAGATGTTTTCTGGGCTCAAGGGCATCCAGTCCCTGCTTTGCTCTGTCTGTGGGGTACTCTCCGTAGAGTCAGTGCTCATCCACACTCGTGGTCGTACTTGAGGAAGATGTGAGGATCTCAGTAGCGGTCAGCAACCCATACTTCGCCACTTTCTTGTTTCCTGCTCTGGCCTACCTGTTAGGATGCCTTCAGTGGTGTGGTGGATACCGCTAAAGTGGGTCCCAACGGTCCCCGCCTCCCGCGTGCACCCCATTGTACAACCTTCTCCCCTTGGACACGGGCTGACTTCAGTGACTGACATCAAAGAAGAGAATATGGAAGAAGTAGTGGGATGTCACTTGTCACTTCTAAGGTTAGGTTAAAAAACAACAACAGTGGTTTCCATTTTGGATACCCTCTCTGCCTCGCTCACTCCGAGGGGAGCCAGCCGCCATGTTGAGAGATGCTCTGTGAGGAGACCCACGTGGCAAACACCTGAGGGAGCTTCCAGCCAACAGCCAGTGAGCGACTGAAGTCCTCAGCCCACCGAGCATGGGAATTGAGTCCAGCCAACACCCTGTGGAGTGAGTCTGGAAGCTCCCTCAGGAGCCCCCATGGTTGAGACCACAGCCCAGTGGCACCTTGGCTGCAGCCTTGTGAGGGACCTTCTGTCAGAGGCAACCAGCCAGCTGTGCCCACAGAAAGTTGGAGATAATTAATGC